TTATGGGCCTGGAACTAGTGCAGAAAACACCCAAAAAAAATAATGCAGCAGCCTATGGAATTAGTGGAACAGGGTGTTGTTATAGAGAGGGCCAATAATGAATCTGCACAGGCTGTGTGTTTTCAAGCAGCTGTCCATGAGCTGTGATGTAGTCACTAGAATGAATGCAGCGCAATGATGAAAGCTCCAGCTCCCTCTTTCTGGTACTAAGATGGTCACAGAAACCTCCCCCTTGGCCGGCTGCCCTCGAAGGGCTCCCTGCCAGCCTGGGACCCGAACGCAGGAGGGGGCCTGGCCCTGAGCACAGGCTGGAGGCTGCAGCCCCGGGGTGTTTCTCACCACTCCACGTGGTGGCAAACTCAGTTCATAGAGCGGGTTCTGCAGCACTAGTAGCTGCATCTTAAACTGTCCAAAAAAAAAAGGGTGTTGCCAAACTATAGCATTATCTGAATTTTGAGTAACTGAATTACAGCAGTAACTAGCTGCCTATCGTGCCAAAGCAATTAGTGGCAAAAATAATAACTCCTCCCAGCCGCGCTCCCAAAGGTGAATCCGTTGGAGCCTGGGAGCTGGGGAGCTGTGTGCTTTCTCCAACAAGACTCCTTTGATTCAGGTACAGTTGTTCTGTTTGTTCATCAGAATTTTCCTACGCTGATTTACCTTTTTAAAGGACAATACTAACGAGGCAAACGCCAACGTTTGGGCTTGTTCTGGTGTCCGCTCAGCATCTGTTTATTGTTGGGACCCCCCTAAAGCTCCTCCCTGGCATCGCGCGCTCGATCCCGGCGCCCCCCTCTCGTCGTGTCCGGGCTCTGTCACCCGCCTCGTGCTGATCTGCTCCAAGTGTCCGGCAAGAGCCGGTAGCTGAAGGCGCCACTGGGAGCAGGGACGTGGCCGGAGGAGATGAGGGCCTGGCCCTCCTGCCCTGCTCCTAACGAGCAGGTTGGAAGTAGTTGACTCCCTCAGTCAGTCGGTGCCGCCGCTTGTCCCACCATGAAGTTCACATTAAGGTGGAATGAGCCCTTGTGGAAACATTCCCCGAGTGCGTGGTCCTTCCTCGCCGAGGACGCTGTCACCGCCACTAGGTTTCGTGCTGTGCTTTAAGGTGTTGGTGAAAGTATTGGCTAATTTGACTAGTTGGTCTAAATGGTTGTGTAGCAGAATGACTGATTTTTTTGAGATAGCATTTCCTGTAAAAGTTATTAAGCATGGGTTGATGGTGCACTTTGTATACAGTAACCTGGCATGCATGCTGGTAAAATAAACCTCCTTCCTACACGTCAGAGGCACCACAAGCCTTTTTATGCAGTTGCTGGTGATGTAAAATACATGCAGAATGTTAATGCAGTGTTGTTATGGTAAATGTGTGAACAGTGTTACTAATTGATATAACTGATAACAGATACATGTGCCTGACATTCTTATACCACACAGTATGTTTAGGTTCTAACTAATAACGGACTTCAGTGGAATAGTCTTAGGTATTTCAAGCCTTTGTTTTACTTACACAATGGTGCTCTATTTGTGTTTTTCTCCTTATTTTTTAAATAAAAGCATCTGAACACTTGTAGTACATATTACATCCAAAGGAGTCCAAAACAAAATGCTTCTAAACATGCTTGATTTTACTTTGCCTTCAGTTTCCAGCACCTCTCATCAGATAGATTTATCTTTTTTTTTTTTAATTGTTGTTGACTACTTTGGAAAACTTCAGTAATGTTACCAATTATGAAGTGATTCTGCACTGCCTTTGGATTATGTATGTATTCAGAAACAGTCTTAAAGCTTTTATTTAAGCTATTACAAAACCAGGGACTTGTGCCCATTTGTTCTTTAACAGTGCTGTTGCAAAAAGATTTCCCTGTGAAAAAAAAAAAAGTCATTTGCTATGAACTCTGTTTATAGCTTTTTTTTCCACGATGGATCTTTTCTTTGTATTTGTACAGTGGCTCAGTGAAAGATGTTGCCATGAGTTGATATTGTAACCAATAAACAAGTGCTTTTAACCAGATTCTATGTCTTGGGTGGAAGCTTTATTAAAGCCATGACTGCTGCTCGGCAGTAGTTAAAGATTAAGACACTTTCTAGGGCTCCGAGTGTAAATCTGCAATAAGTGTCCCAGTTAACTCTTGCTTTGGGTTATGGTGTCAACATGCTTAATGTGTTTTGCATCTTAAAAACACTGTGAATGCTTATGAACACTTAAGTCATTATAACTTATTTCTGAATACAAAACCATGTGCTTTATGCACCTTCTTGCCAAGAAACTGGGAATTGAATAAATTGACAGAGGAATATTAATACTCTACCATCAAGAGGCAGAAATTAGCCCATTGCTTAGGCCAGAAAAACAAAACAAAACAAACTCTTGCTTCTCCTACCTTCATTCATTCATCCTTAACAGCCCCATTCTGGTGATGAAACAGGGCTCAGTCTGGGGTAGTTACCTTCAGCCTCTCCTTTCAAATCAGCCTTTTTCTTAGCACTAATGATTTTCTAAAAAAACAGAGTCTGCTCCAGCCACACAAACGTAAACGGCTGGAGTGGATAGATATCACATACATCCACGAGCAATGTATACACAGCTGGCGAATAACTTGCTAGAGCACAGGGAGAGTATGTCTTTAATAAATGTACATACATGCATGTAAAGGTTCAGCTTGATACAAGGTCCATAAAAGTGGAGCAGAGGGGAGCATCAGTACACGGAGCATCAGTACATGGAGCATCAGCTGCAGGGGCAGCTCCACGGGGCATGGGCACAGTGCAGGGTTTTCCTCAAGCCCTCATGCTTGGAGCTATCGGGAGTTTGGAACGAGCCCTGCTGCTCTAGCACAGTCAAATAAAAGCAAACATAGAATATACTTCACTCAAAGCAATGCTGGCTGACTTCAACTAGCCAATTATCCCCAGTATTAGGTTCTTAAACCTATTTGCTTATAGGATAGCCCTTACATAGTGGAAAACAGCAGCTCCCTACCTTTTAGGTGTAAGTTTGAATACTTTTGTTTAGTCATGTTAAACATGTTCATAAAAATATATATATAAATATTCTGAAAAGGCTTTCTCCTTCGAAATAAGTTATTTTTATAAAGTCTGCTTATAAAATCTAGATGGAAGAGAGTGCAGATGCCACCAGAAAAAAAAAAAAAAAAAAAGAAAGAAAAGAAACAGTGAAAATAATAGAATAGGAAAGGTCTCTAGGTGGATCAGGCAGAGCAAGCTGCAGCCAGGAATGGGAATCCTGGGCAGACTCCAGATGGTGCCTTAATCCAGCTGTGGTAATTCACACTGATAGACAGACATGGACATCACTTCCTCAGATTGCACGACACAGTTTGAGAAAGCTACTGTGTGGTTTGCCTTCAGAGGCTCCGCTCGCGGCGTTTCCGCACGAGGCGCAGACAAACTGCCGCCCCCCACCGCGTCCCTTCCTTTCAAACTGAGCGGGAGGCCTCTCCCCCGCTCTGGAAACAAAACTCGCCTATGGGAAAGAGCAGCATTCGGCACCACGGGCTCGTCGCTGTCAGCTGGAAACCAGAGCCGCTGGGAGAAGCTCCCCCTGCACAAGCCCCTGGGTGCCAGGAAGGGAGCCTGGCCATGGCCAAATACTAATACAAACCAATAGGGATTTGGGGTTTTATTGTTAAGCATCCAAAGAAATTTAGTGTTTTTATATATGCCTCTTAAATCAAAATTTTCAAACTAACA